GAGGCCGTGGAAGCCCTGATTTTCCCGCAATGATTTTAGAGCTTAACGGAGGGAAAGGCCGCCGTGTTTTTGTGCCGCGGGGTTCCAGCCTCCCTTTCCTTAAGGGAGCGAGCCGGCGGAATGGGGAATAAACAAAAAGGGAGTCTTAGGGGAGAGAAGACTCCTCCTTCGGCTCATTGTCTCCCAGCGCTCGGGAGCCTCCTCAAGAAACGGGAAGAGGCGGAGCGGAGGGGGGTGGGGGGGAAGAGAGAAAAGGCGCATTCTAGGTACGATGCCGCGCCCCTGTCGTGCGATCCTCCGGGCACAGCCGGTGTGCAGCCAAGCCAAACGCCAGGCGGGAAAGTCGCGCGGGGCCGCTGGTGAACGCCACAGTCAACAATGGCGCCGGCTTCCCTTGCGCTGAGAGGCCCGCACTAGCCAGCCACGCTCTGCCCCTCGAAGCCGCAGGCCTCTCTCCTCCCGCCGAGTGCCATTTCTGGCTTGGAACGTCTCCGTGGAAAGCCGGCCGCGCACGATTTTCTACCTGGTTAAACTCCTCTCCTACATCGGCATAAATGTCTATGTGGTCCACGCCGTCCGCCATATTCCACGGCTGCTCCTTCGCCTCCGCCAGCCCCGCCTGGCTCTACAGCTGCCGCAGCCAGCCACCGCCGGAGAGGAGGGGGCGAGTTAGCGCTGGGCGACGTCACTTCCGGGAACTAACAAGGGAACATCCGGCGGGTAGAAGTGCAGGCGCTCCGAAAGGCCGCACCGGTGGTCACGCCCACGGAGCGATGGAGGAGGGGAGTCTCTTCGTCCGAAACGTCTACGGAGATTCTCAATCATCCAGGTCGCGGTTGTCCAAAAGGAGCTTTTCCAAAAGACAATTCTTCAGAACTGGAGAAACTTCAAGGATGAGAAGCGAAACGTTTTATAGGGAAAAAAACAAAGTCCAGTTGCCTTTTGGAAATGCACCTTTGGGACACTTTCCTTGTCCTTTTTTTCTGGCCAGTTCCACGCGGACCGAGCTGACAGTAAAGCGAACGTTATATTTTTGCAGTGGCAGATCAGTCCGTTACCATTACTGTAAAGTCCCATTGCCTTAGGTGATCCTTAAGTCCTGCTGCAGAGCGGCTCAGAAGCAGAATATCACCTACCATCAGTAGAGGTTTCGAAGGTGCCTGCTTGTGCACTATAGATCTATACATGAGGAGAGCACGGAGGGGATGAGACTGAGTCTAAATAAATGTTTCTCAAACTTGGCAACTTTAAGATGTGTGGATTTCAACCCCAGAATTCCCTACCTACCCACCTTGCTGGCTGGGGAATGGCAGTTGAAGATCACACATCCTAAAGTTGCCAAGTCTGGTCTAAATTATACAAGGTTAAGCAGCCCTTTTAGCTGGCAGCCACTTTCCAAGTCAGAAGGCTTTCTAAAGTCCTTGCTAGTACCTGCAATTTTCTTAGATTACAATGTACTTTCAGATTACTAACCTCTTGTTTTCAAGATTGTGTGGAGTATTCCAAAATCTTAGGGCAAAGCAAAAGCAGTGTTGAAATAATAAACAGCATCTGACACATTAGCTCCTGGTCCAGGCATCTCTCATGCAGCTTTTCTTTATCTGATGCCCTCCACAGGAGCTGAACAACAGTTCTTTTAATTCCCAGTTGGCAAAGGGAAAACCCGAATAATCATCAGGGAAACTCAGACTTGTAATTTGAGACAGCAATAAGGATTTGAGATTAGATTCTTGTAATGACTCCCTTAGGAAATAAACTCTTGTCCGTTCTTTGTTTTAGATTTTGCTGGTATTATTAGTGGATAAAGAAGAAAACGCCAAGGGGCGAAATATTTATAACAGGCAACATTCAAAGAAATACAGTGTGGTCTTTCTTTGAAAGGTAGCGGTACATAAGGTAGGGTACATTCAGAGGTGGGTTTCAGCAGGTTCTGACCAGTGCTGGAGAACCGGTAGCGGAAATTTTGAAATTTCGGAGAACTGGTAGTAAAAATTCTGAGTGGCCCCACCCCCATCTATTCTCCGCCTCCCAAGTCCCAGCTGATTGAGAGGAAATGGAGATTTTTACAGTATCCTTCCCCTGCCATGCCCACCAAGCCACGCCCACAGAACCGATAGTAAAAAATTTTGAAACCCACCACTGGGTACATTGTATTTCACATCTAAGTTTAGCCTCATAATAATACATTAAATTTATATGCTGCCTGACTCCCAATGATTCCGGGCAGTTTACAATTGTTAAAACATTTCTCCATTCAGGTCGGGTGGTTCACCTAGGAACCAGGAGACTGAGTTCTAGACCTCCACTAGGCATGAAAGCCAAGTGGGTGATTTAAGGCCAGTCACACACTCTCATCCCAACCCACTTCACAGGATTATTGTTGTGGGGAGGAAATAGGAGGCAAGAGAAATTAGATGAATTGTCTTGAGTTGACCAAATATTTTTTTTTAAAGTTGGGATTAAAAACATAATAGTGTGTGCCATAAAAAGCTGGATGCATTAGAACAGTGATGGCGAACCTTTTCGGCACCAAGTGCCCAAACTGGAACATGTACATGTGCATGTGCGCACAGGAGCTCCAGAAACGGAAGACCAGCTGTCTGGTGTGCATGCATGCACTGGAAACCCAAAGACCAGGTGGCATGTGGACTCCAGAAACCAGAAGAGCAGCTGGCGATGGCCCACGTGCCCATAGAGAGGGCTCTACATGCCACCTCTGGCACATGTGCCGTAGGTTTGCCAACATGACATTAGAAGTTTCTACATACCTGTTGCCATCTAATGATTGTTTAAAATGCAGCTCTGCTATAGCCCTAAGCTAGTGAAATTGCACCTCATACAGTACATACAAGACTTCAGACACAGGTGACTCTGTCACTGCCCTCAACTTTAGTGGGCATTGGGAGCTAGGCTGGACCGTCCAGCAGACAAGCAGGACAGTTTGCTTCCTTCCTCTCTGTTCCTTGGTGATAACTGCTTTTTTTCAGTCTCTGCAGCAACCAGCAATGCCATCTTCACTTGCATCCCTGCCCTGTTGGTCCTCCATTGCTTGACCTAACTTGTGTACTCAGTGAAGGAGGCAGAGGCAGATACTAGATACACTATAAGACCTTATAGAGGAGCAGCAAGTAGTGACCATTATATTGGTGGGCATACCACAGAGAAGGGTAATATGTGGAAAGAGCCCTGTTTAGGAGCTACCATTTTTCTGGGCCCCACTGCATCTGTCTATACTACAACTCCTTTAAATTGCTCTTGATTGACATATCTGTTAGCACTTCAATTCCCTCTTACACAACTATAAATAATTCAGTGGGTTTTTCTATTGCTTGTTACTTCTGGTTTGCTGGAATTATACAGCTGGTTTATTGCGTATTATACATCATTCTTCTCCGGAGAAGGGTGGCATATAAATCAAATTTTTTTTAAAAAAATTATCTAATTGAATTGGTTCTTCTTTCTACAAGTGTTTCAATCATTCTAGAATTGTTTCAGTTTTATTTTTCTATCTGCTTTTAGTCTTTTTTTAGATTGTTATGTGATTATTTTTGAAATTCCTATCATGGATGCAGCAAACTTTTTTCTGATTTTCTTTAAAATACCTTGTATTTTTCATTTTCTTTTACATTCTAATCTATTTTATTTAGTTGTTGATGTATTATGGCCTTCATTTGCTTCACTCTGTTTGTTCTTTTAAACTTTGCTGGGCATTGACCAAATAAATGATTGAATTATGTTGTGTGATTTCTTGAGCTTTTAGCCTGAACTACGTTTTCCTATTTCCTATTTTCCTGGATTATGTTGAAAGTGTATGTTCAATAATCATATGTCCATATTGTCCAAAATGCCCATCCTCCATCATTTTGTAATATCAAAGTTTATTTATTTATTTATTTTATTAGTCATATTTCTATGTCACCCACTCTCCGAGGACTCTGGGCAGCTTACAACAAAGACAGAATACTAAATGGCATATTACCCCCAACAATCTGGGTCCTCATTTTACCCACCTCGGAAGGATGGAAGGCTGAGTCAACCTTGAACCGGTGAGATTTGATCCACTGATCTGCTGAACTAGCAGTCAGCTTAAGTAGCTGCAGTACTGCACTCTAACCACTGCGCCACCTCAGCTCTTATTATTAATTATATATTCTAAAGCCATAAGATCTCTTCGGAAGTTTGGAAATATTTTTCCACTTAAATTTTCAAAAAATGTTTTCTGTATCTTCCCATAGTTCCTCAAGTTCACTTTTGCATATATTAAATGTATATAATGTTCCTTATTTTGAGTTTAACTCATGTGATAATCTGAATTAAATAGTTCTGGTTCACCTTAACTGATTTATTTATTTCTCAGATGCCCATTTTGGTGTGCCTTATTTCTGCTTTGATAGTTTCAATTCTTTCTTGGTTTGTGCCTCTTGCTTTTCATATTGCAATTCACTTTTCTTCTCTTTCACTATCAGTGACCAGACTTCCTTGAAAAATTGGTCTGATAACATCATCATATGAAGATCTACTTGTGAAGTTCTACAATCTGGTTTTGTAATTTGTATTATCTGATCAGCGCCTTGTGATCTGATTTGGGAATTCCTTATTTTAGTGGTTTGTGTATTATTTTTAATTTCCACATTGTTAGGCTTTGCGTTCAAGGGTGATTTTGCCAGGATGGCTGTCAGGGTCATTAGAGCTCTTCCTCTATATAAATATAATAAGCTCCAGAGAAGAAGACTAATTTAGAGAGATTTTAAAAAAATTAAATTCCACTTATAAAAGAGGTGTATTCAGAATTATGAATTGTCTGTCAGATTGTAAAAAGTACAGAAACATGAAGAAATTAATTTTATAATGCCAAATTGTCATACATTGTTATTACAATAGATGTCATTGTGGCTACAGCATAAGAAGCATGCACAGATATAACCTGCATCTTCCCCAAATGAAATAAAAGATAGAAAATTTCCATAAATTTTGTACAGAAACTATTTTTGCTCAGGACAGTATTTGTAGCTATTTTACTAAATAATCAGCCAATACCTTAGTCACATTCAGTTTGTCATCTTGAACTTATTTCCATTGAAAAACTGTGACAAGATACAAAATTTCTTAGTAACTCAAATGGGACATCAGTTCCTTTTGAAAAGAAAGAAGGGTAATAACGAGAAAAAAAATCAGAAAAGGCATGATTCACAGAGGACCACATGAAATGTTCTCAAAATATCCAGTATTACCTGTGCTAGATCATCCTCTTAATGAACAGTATTCTGTTTCTGCTGCTTCTCATAAATAGGGAAGAGCACAGATCTGGAGATGTCATAATCAAAGAAACTAATTATATAAAACTGATTAAAAAGGAGTTGCTAAAAACAAGATAACTAGCATGGTGATTATATTTGTAGATACTTTATCTACAAGTTTATCTACAGGTTTTGTTTTACTGTTTTAATGATACTTGAAAGCCAATTTAATAGGAGAAATTATTAATTTCTAAGCATATATATCACAAGATGTAATTTTACTAAAGAAAGCTGCTTTTTTGGAACTTATGAATCCTTTCCTTAAATTCTCTTTAAATTAAACTATTTCTTTGAGACTTTTTTATACTTTTCATCTAAAATAAGTTTCTGTTCATAAGTTTAGTCTTAATTTGTTTAGTGTAATTAAATACTAGTCATGTACAGTCATGTACAGAATATATTATGCCTGCTGTTTTAAAAATATAGGCACTATATTCCCGATGTACACAAAATGTGTACAATTACCATAAAAGAAAAAACAAAGCTTAAAAGACATACAATTATATTAAGAATTTTTGGTATAAATGTGTTATCTGTTGAAAAGGTGAGAGGACAGAGAAGAGAAGAAAACTTACTTTCTTAATGTTCACAAAAAATCATGAATGAAGAGATGAGTCTTTTTTCAGCAGTTGTTTAAAATACATTCCGGCAGAACCATTACTGTACGTGACTGCTGGGAGCAAAACCATAGTTGTGAAGAACCACAAGGTGGCAGTTTGCAAGTTCAGGCACAAGTAACAGGATCAACTCTGATTATCTTAGTAATTATCTAACTCAATTGGTGATACAGGCATATTTTTAAGCTGTGCGTATTCAGGTTAATTCGACAGCATTCAGCATTAATTGAAAGGCTTTTAGTAAATGTATATACATGATAGATTTACATCAGTGTCATAGTGAGATACTATAGAATGTCACTGATATTCAGCATGTATGTTGCAGTGCCATAAATTAGCCATATGGATTGGATCTCAATTATTGTTTGTGTAGGTGTTAGTTGTTAAATGTATTTGCCCTTTCTGTATCAGCTCTTCTATTATACCCCCCTATTTTTTCCTGACTGCATTTATAAGATTAAAATTCTGCACTGGGGAACCTTAAATTTGATCTTAAAAATTCATTGCCTAGTTTTTTTCCACTTTGGTTCAGTAATTATTTAGCTTTAAATATTCTAATAAAATCGGACAGCTGCAAATATTTAGTTTTCTGCATCTCTTTGCTGCTGTCTAATAATTTTCAGATTTTTGCAGCCCAGATATAGTATGGTAGCCCTAGGATAGTAGGAAAAAATACTTACATTATTATTTTTATATTGTAATTTAATCTAAGAGCTTCTTAAGGCAATCTAATGCTATTAAAAAAACATTGTAATGCAATGTAATGAGCTAAGGATATAGCTAAATGTCCTTCATGGTAGATATACGAACTCTTATAGACAGTAATGAAAAGAAGGTTTAAAAAAGGCTAAGGTAAGGCTACATATTAGCCCTATCATAAAAAATTATTTAGGCATTATCCAACATTAGCAAAGTCCAAAATTACAATACATGTTATTGTTATAAGAACTTTATGCCTTTTGGTATCCTTGTCTCCTACCTCACCATTGTTAGCTACTGCTTTTCTTCCTCAGAAGTCAGACAAAAAGCACTTTCTGTCTCATTTTCCTCCAACTTAATTGGAGAAGTGTTTATTTTACTAATTCTACCAGTCATAGAAGGGAAAAATAATACTGCCCAATTCTTAGCTTCTATTTCTAGCCATCCTGGAATGGCAAGTCAGTCATCAATGGTTAGATTTTCAACCAATACTTTTACATTATCAAATTTCAGGCTTGGATGATTGTTTTTGCACCGTAAACCAAGAATATTTAAGAGAGAGAAATCAAGGTAATTATACTAATAATCTGTAGGCTCTGGGGACTTGAGTATAAAGAAAAATTGGAGTTGAAAATTGCATATTTTCAAGCAAGAGATTATCATCTGCAGGTGAGTGTTACCAATCCTTTCTGGTTAGGGCATGCTTTGAGCTGAATCAATATCCAAACTGCATTTATTCTGCCTTTTCTATCAGTATATTCCTGAGGTTAGCAAGTGAAGCTGCTGTCAGTGTAGTCACATCCTTATCTCACAAATGTAGGCTCCTATTTCATTGCAGAACTTGCTGTTTTGCTATGCCAAAGAAGAACAGAACAATCTGTCAGTTGTTTGCGAACAGATGTTCCCAGATCACCCCATCCCCACGACTCTTTAAATGAACAAATGCCTAGAGACAGGAACCCATCTTGTCCCAAACAGACAGAAGATTACTGAGGGGGTTCAGTTTCACAGAATTCTGAATGACTGTGGATGAATGGAATGGTCAATGACCTAATTCAGACCTAACTATGGCATTGTTTAATTATGATTTGTTAAATAAAGTGCAAGTCTCTAATTTCACACAATATATGCTAAACTTTGACCAAACGCATTATGCTCAGTACAACAGAGGAATCCAGTCAATGTACACGTAGAATATGATTTGCTCCTACAGGTCCCCCTATTCAGCAGTCTTTTAACAGTAGTGTCTCTATGGGCAATGACCAGTCCACTAACCTCAAGCTGCCTGTTCTATTTTTATGCATTTCACACTATAAGTTGTCAGTTGTTTCGGATCACTCAACTAAAGATTTAATTCATCAATTCATATTACATTTCATTCTTAGTTACAACTCAAAAATATTTAGCAGACAGCAATATAAAAAAAAATCTCTTTAAATAAAAGACCATGTTTCAAAGTCAATTCCAAAAACACCTTAGAGCATGTGGTGGTACGAATATATAATTCAGTTGCAACTCTTTAAAGCAGCTGTGGCTTCCCCCCCCCCACAGTGACAGCTACATGATTCCTGGAAAAGGTGCACCTGCCTTAAAGAGTTGGAAAGAGATTGCATGCATACTTTCCCCTCCCAGGGATCTGCAAAATCAAAATTATTGGCTAGCTTCGGATGGAAATAGTACAAGATTACAAGATTAAAGTCCCAACCAACAGTCATGAGAAATGATAGCAGCAGCAAATTTGTCAATTTTAATTTTTAATAATGGAAATATCAATAAATATAACCCAAGTACTTTGGAGTTCTCCATAAGTCCTGAGAGAAAAATATTTAAGAAACACTGTTCTACAGTCTCCATTTTTGGTAACAAAAGAGCAAAGAGAGTAGGTTGAATTGGGAAGCATAGACCTCCAACAACTGTCAGTACTTCTCTTGTCACCCTACACATCACCTAACTGTATTCATTTTTCATATTCGTGCTGATGCATTCCTGCTGATATAGAGGTTTGTTGTGTGATAGTAGCTTGGCACTCAAATGTTATTGCTATAGTAGTGTATTTCTCTTCTCTGTGATATTATAAGGGCAAAGAGAATTGAATGTAGTTCATGATGCAATCTATGCAAAAGATGTAACTCATGATACAATCACTCTTAATCCTGTATCAGACAGAGAAAAGCATTTTAAAATTGTTTTGCTTAACTGCAGGCTGTAATAATAGATTTTGAAATCTGTGGTTCAGATCTCATGTATGGTTTCTTAAGAATCAACATAAATTTGTATGATTCAGTGGGCAAGGAATTTTGGATATAATGTGATGCTTGAACAATGGGCAAATACGTAGATGAAGGGTTTAAAATTTACATTAAATTATAATCTAAAAGAAACATTTAATAAGATGATATATCACTGGTATTTAACATCAGATAACATCAAATGAATGTTGGAAGTGTAAAAGTAAAGAAGGGACTTTTTTATCATTTATGGTGATCATGTGATAAAGCAAAAAAAAAAAATTGGAATACAATCCATTTTTTAATACAGAAAATTTTGAAAATGAAGATAAAGATTAAACCAGAAATTTTCCTTTTGGGCCTAATGGAAAAAGACTTGGAGAAAAAAATGGAACTTTGTTACTATATATGTTGACAGCAGCAAGACCATTGTACGCACAAAAATGGAAGGATACTTTGATTCCTACCATGGACGAATGGTTGCAGAAGCTGATGGAGTTGACTGAAATGGCAAAATTGATCATTTTGATTAAATTAAAGAATATAAGTACTTTTGCTTCCACATGGAGACCGCTTCTGAACTTTGTGCTTGAAGTGGAAAAGAATGAAACTTTGATTTTACTGATTAGACTGACATATCTTTATAGAAATGGCTAGTTTATATTATTATGAAAAAACAAAAAGTTGTGATTTAATGTTAATGCCTTATTTTACTGCAACAAGTCAGAAGTTAATGCTTCTTTTTCTTTTTCCTAATCCTTCCTCAACTTTTCTTCCCCCCTTCCTCCCCACTGTTTTTCTATTTACTTTTGTACTTTGTATCTTATTTTATCTTATAACTCAATAAAAAAGTTAAACTGAAAGAATCAATACAAATTTATCTGGCAATAAACTTAGAAATTGCAACATGAGGCCAGACTTAGAAACACTTCCTTAAAACTGATTATGGATATGGATATGTTAGAATTAAGCTTATATAAATAATCTGCCAATAAAATAGCTTTCAGGAAATGCCAATAGATGATGAATGTTAATAACATCATTTGCATTACATGAATTTTGTAATGCAAATGATGTTGTCTAGATTAATCTATTCATTTCTGGAATCAGGATAGAGAGAGAAAAATAAAAATAAATAAAAATAAATAAGTAATTATTTCTTTTTTAAAAAGGGAATGTGCGGCCAGATTTTTGCTGTTCAGTAAATTATTGAGAGGTTTGTGTATGTGAAACAATTATTGTACATTTCATTACTTTCATAACCTTATGAAAACAGTCTTGAATTTTGGAATTTGTATGTATGAATGTTGGTCTCTGAATGCAATGCATCTACCATGCAATGGAAGTAAAGTAGTTATTAGAATAAACAGAATCCTTAGTGAATTATTTTTAATAATTTATGACAGGGGTGAAATGATCCCGGTTCAGACCGGATCGCCCAATCCAATAGCGATGGCGGCGAGTGGTTCAGAAAACCAGTAGCAAAAACCCCTGTGCCCCCCCCCATGCCCAGCTGAGCCACGCGATCCTCAGAGGCTGTTTTTTTACTTTCAAAAGCATTTTTTCTACAACCTCTTCAGCCAAAAAAATGCTTTTAAAAGTACAAATAAAAGCCTCTGATGATCGTGCAGCTCAGCTGGGATTGTCAGAGGCTTTTAAAAGCATTTTTTTCTACAACCTCTTTGGCCAAAGAGGTTGTAGAAAAAAATGCTTTTAAAAGCCTCTGACGATCCCAGCTGAGTTGCCTGATCATCAGAGGCTTTTAAAAGCATTTTTTTACAACCTCTTCGGCTGAGGAGGTTGTAGAAAAAATGCTTTTAAAAGTTAAAAAAAAATTGGCCACGCCCACCCAGTCACATTACCACCACCAAGCCACGCCCACAGAACCGGTATTAACAAATTTTACATTTCACCACTGATTTATGAACAAATTGATGTTTTAGTGATATTAATAGCATGTTAGTTGGGAATTCGAATGCTGTGTACCTTTGCATGACAATATTATATGTTAACTGAGAATCTGAATTATCTACAAGCTAATGCAGTAGTGTCTTTAGGAAGTCAAAGCAGGCACAATTGTAGTTGCAGCACTGCGATCAAAACCCCATCCCTTTATACATGTATTTGATGTCGATACACTTCTAAAAGGGATAAAGCTTAAATTGTTTGAAGATATATTACTTATTTCTGTTTATCTAATATGCTTTCTATGTAATTCAGTTCAGTTCAGGTAGATTACCTGCATTGTTGCTTCATTATCAAGTAGATAGATGATCTTTCACCCGACCCTGATCCTAAAATTAGTCAGCCATCTTCTTTATCACAGGAAGAAAACACTGGAACTCTATATTTCACAACAGGAACAAATCTTAATTTCAAGTCTTAATCCATCACTGTATGGTACAACAATAATGCATTGTTTAAAAAACATTTTTTAAAAAATAGGAACAGGTATTTTCAAGGGGAAGGCATTTCCTCATCCCATCCATGTCATGGTAAGAATTTATGTAATATAGAAGTTAATTATTACTGCTGGATTACCATCCAACTTTCATTATAGAGTTTTTAGTACCTTCTGTTCAGTATCGGTGTCACAACATATTTTAGTACATTTGTTTGCTCTTGTCTTCTGTTAATCTCTGTGTTTTTCTCTTATCTATGTACCGCAATAAAATTTATGAAGGTTTCACTTCACTTCCAATTTATGGAAATGACTGTAAAACGTAGATACTTTTTCCAAAGAATGCTGAGAGGCTTTGTTGAGGTAACCAATGCAAATATGAATAAACATGTTCAGTTTTACATTGGCCTCAGTAAAGCAGAATTGGATACTAGAATTGATGCAGATCATGCGCTCTGCCAGTCTAATAAACTCCAAAATATTTTTAGTGCGATTTGAAGCAAAAAGCTGTAATATATACTTATTATCTGGACTTAAAAAGGCACAGATAACCATGGTAAACATTTGCTGTTCCTGTTCCCCACTCCTATCATGCAGCCTCTGACATGCTGTCAAATCATGTCATGATTTCATATGTCCAGAGTATATTAAGTCATTCATTAAACCCTAGGTTGATGCCATCCCCTATTCTAAGCCTCATCAAGTGATGGGAAACACCTGTCAATCATAGCAGTGCTGTGATTAGCAAATGGTTTTGGTAAATAACTAGACTTTTGGATTTAACCTCATCATTTCTTCATGCTTCCTCATCAGCAGACTGGAAGAGCCCTAAACTAGCAAGTAAATCTACTGCCAAAATCTGCTGCTTCCCCAATCACTGAATAATTGATTCAAAGACTGAGATGTTTGCAGGGTACACATTTTCCTGCTGTACCCACCATGTCCTCAAGCTGTTGGGCAATGACTTAAGACTCGCTTGTTATAAGTTACAGGTGAGATGAAGGCAGTGCCATAAGGATAAGGCAGAAAAAAGAGAAGCTGTCAAGAGTGTCCCGTGTTTTATGCAGTAGAGATCGATTTATAGTCCTTTCCACTTTTTGAAGGCAAATGCGGCACATCAGTTTCAGAATGCATCTGACTGACCAGCGTCCAATACAAAATACTAGGGTAGTTTCCTCCTCCCCCTCTTCTCCTAATTTTGAATTTCCCTGCTGCTATCGCAAAAGAGAGGAAAGGAAGGAATGGAGGTAAATTGCATTTGACAGCAGCAGGATTTGAACAGCCCCCGTCGGAATGCGGAGTAATATTCCGAAATGCTCTGTGAGCGCGCGCCTCAGTCACCGGCCTGCTCTGCCTGTGCCGAAGGAGTTCTGGCCCGATTGCAGGAACGTTTCTTCCAGGCGGTCACAACTTGGCATCAGGCCGAAGGAATCCGCGCGAATCGGCCCGCTTGCTTCGCGCGCTGTTTGGCTGCTCTCGGGACACTCGGGCGGGGGAGGCAGAGGTGGAGAAGAGGGGAGGGCTGGCCAGGCAAGTCATTCTCTTCTCACTGGACTGGACACCTCCTGTGTCACTCAAACTAAGGTCCCACCCCTCCCCTTCTGGCTCTTTGCTTCTGCAGTTTGGCTGAAGCAGCCGGTGTCAGGAGTAGCTGTGGGTTTTGCGGCTACCTCAGAGAGGCTGGTTGGCTACTGTCACTTCGGTAAGAATAAGGCAGCGCCTGGCAAAACTTGCCCCATGGCCCTTCTGCCAGTCGGCTTGCTGCTCCTGAGGCCGCTGTCGCTGCCGACTGGGCGCTTTATTCGCTCGACTTAAACTCTCTAAGGGAGGGGGGGGGTCTCTTCGGTGCTCCCCTCTCCTCACGCTTATTTCCTTGCTCTGCTGCTGCTTTCGAGTAGGAGATGGGCATCTTCTGCCTGCTTCTTCTGCTGCCTTTGGTATCCGGGTTGGATTTCCGCTACCATCACACCAAGGAATTGGAAGCTTTTCTGAAGGAGGTGCAGAAGAATTACACTGCCATCACTCACTTGTACAGCATTGGCAAGTCAGTACAAGGTAAGGCTGGGTGGGGTGGATCGTATGCTGCTTCTCTCCGGCCTGTTTGCCCAGCATAGAATTTAGCATTTGCAGAAGAAAGAAAAAAAGTCGGTATCACTCAGAGGTCTGGCCTAAGCACCATTGCTTGGAATACAGTGCCACTGAAACCACCAGGCAGCCGCTTCCTACCCACGCTAGTTATTCCTGAGGGCCTTTCACAGGAGAGTGTCCTCATCTAGCTGGAGGGTGTGCAAGTTTGAAAAGGGCTGTAATATCTCCACTTCAGGGAAAGAAGAGTGCTGTTATTTTTTAAACATAGCATTTTATAAGAGGCCCCACATGTTGCCTTCTGTCATAAGTAATCTAAGTCTTCCCAGTTTTTTTTCTTCATCCCCCTCTCCAATTAAAAAGGAAATAAGTGCACCTATAGTTTGGCTAGTTAGTTTAACCATTGAGGATGAAATGAAATCCTCAATGCTATTTTCAACAAATAATTTGTGCAAGATCAGCTTTTTTTCTTTGATCGAAGGCAATAAATTTAAGATTGAGGTTTATATTTTAGTTAAACATTAATACAGTGTAATCCTAAACATAGTTAAAGCTAATAAAAACTAAACTAAAAGAAATAATCTCTTTCATTCTGGTTCAGCAAAAAGTCCATTAGGAGTTGCCAGAAATATCAAACAGATAGTTTGTCTCTGATAGTCCAACTTTATAGTCCGTATTTTTGCTCTGTACAATCTTGATTTTTAAATCCTCCCTATAGGGGATTGCAAGATTTGATCTTTCATCATTTTTGATACTTAAAAAAAAGTCTTCAAAGATTTCACCAGGATACTCTGTAAATCCCATAAAGAGGCATCACCCAGGTTTTCTTGTCACAGCTATTCCCAGTTCCAGTTCCTTTTCTTCCCATAAAGAGACATCATCCAAAATTTCTTACTGTATCTTTCCCATATTTTTTGAATTGTGTTTTGTAATCCCACTTGGATAATATCAATTTTGTTATCTTCCATTCGTTCAAGCTCTGTGTAAGGTCTATGTCACATAAAGGTTTTTGAAGATTTTCTCATCATCTTTTAAATCCTTATCCACTGAAATCTGTACCCTTTCTGAGATATTTTAGCCCATGTAAAAACACTCTAAGAAATACCCAGCATGGCCATTTTAACTCTTTTCTGCCTGGCTCTTTGATTTCCTCTACTATTTATTTATGTTTATGTACTGCCCAGAATTGTTTGATAGTGAGATGGATGGCATGTAAATTTAATAAATAAATAAACAAATAAATAAATTCTACTTGTGGCTTCATCAAGCTTTAGTTCCTAATATGGATTCAGTTCCGTTTCATTTTTTTCCAGTGAATATATTATTTATATATTAGTGTTTTGAATCTTTCATAAAAAATATCCAATATTCTGAATTTCTCATTTTCCAAGCTATTTAAAACTTTTTAAAATCAAAATCCATTTTTTTTTGCTTTTAGCCAGTTATATTTAAAATTCTTGAAGCTGTATTTAAAAATTTTTAAATCTGAAGGTGGAACTCATCAGGTGTCAGATTGATCTCATCATTTTAAAAGCCTCTAATATCCATAAAGTAGTTAAACTGAACATTTCCAAAAATGATTAAAAAAGGAGTTTAACTGGCTTTGTGTTGTTATGAAAGGCTCTGCTGTTTTGAAGTCAAAGCAATTTTTCCCTTGGCTCTTGGAGCTCAAACTTATGGGAGACCATTGTTTTACGGTTTCCTCATGAGGAGCCGAAATTCAAATTGTCTACTTGTGGACAATTTCCCAATTTTTCTTTCTGTGGAGAAATTCAAAGGAGCTGTCTCCTTTCCAGTTTTTGTTCTACACGGCTTTGTCTCCACTCATTCGTTGAGTCATATTTGGGCAGCTTGACTCACAATACAATGTAATCCTTTTTGTCTGAATAAGTGACATGGTGGCTTCCATAAATTTTGGAGGAGTATGGGATTCTTTCACAAGTATCTGGATCTGTTCCAGTCGAGCTTCAGGCCCGGGTACAGCACGGAAACGGCATTGGTCGCGTTGGTTGATGATCTCTGGAGGGCTCGGGACAGGGGATGCTCCTCTGTCCTGGCCCTGTTAGATCTCTCAGCGGCTTTTGATACCATCGACCATGGTATCATGCTGCACCGGTTGGAAGTGTTAGGGGTGGGAGGCACTGTGTTGCGGTGGTTCTCCTCCTTTCTCTCTGACCGGTCGCAGTCTGTGTTGACAGGGGAACAGAGGTCGACCCCGAGGCCCCTCATATGTGGGGTGCCGCAAGGGTCGGTCCTCTCGCCTCTCCTGTTCAAAATTTATGTGAAGCCGCTGGGCGAGATCATCCGTGGTTTCGGGGTGGAGTACCATCAGTATGCTGACGACACCCAGCTGTACATCTCCACCCCGGATCACCCCAACGATGCCCTTGAAGTGATGTCCCGGTGCCTGGAGGCCGTACGGATCTGGATGGGGAGGAACAGGCTCAGGCTCAACCCATCCAAGACCGAGTGGCTGTGGTTTCCGACATCCCAATATAGTCAGTTGACGCCATCACTGACTATTGGGGGTGAATCATTGGCCCCCACGGAGAGGGCTCGCAACTTGGGCGTCCTCCTGGATTCACGGCTGTCTTTAGAAGAGCACTTGACGGCCGTGACCGGGAGGATTTTTCATCAGGTTCGCCTGATTCGCCAGTTGCGTCCCTTTCTGGATTGGGACTCGTTACGCACGGTCACTCATGCCCTCGTCACCTCCCGCCTGGACTATTGCAATGCTCTCTACATGAGGCTCCCCTTGAGGAGCACCCGGAGGCTCCAACTGGCGCAGAGTGCGGCCGCGCAGGTCGTAATGAGAGCGACATAGCGCTCCCATGTAACACCTCTCCTGTGCGAGCTGCACTGGTTCCCGGTGGTCTTCCGGGTGCGCTTCAAGGTTTTGGTTACCACCTTTAAAGCGCTCCATGACTTAGGACCTGGTTATCTACGGGACCGCCTACTACCACCAATAGCCTCCCACCGGCCAGTACGCTCTCATAGAGAGGGACTCCTCCGGGTGCCGTCAGCCAAACAGTGTTGACTGGCGGCCCCTAGGGGGAGAGCCTTCTCTGTGGGGGCACCTACCGTCTGGAATGAGCTCCCCCCGGAGATACGGAGGATCCCGGATCTGCGCACCTTCCGCCGCGCTGTGAAGACCTTTTTATTCCATCAGGCGGGCTTGGCCTAATCTCTTCCCTTTTTTAAATATGTAAATTTTAATCTGTTTTTAAATTATCGGGGTGTTTTAATCTGTCTGGGCCAAAATGATTTAATTTGATTTTATCTGGTTTTTTAAATTTTTTGTATCTATGTATTTTATTGTTTGGATGTTCACCGCCCTGAGTCCTTCGGGAGTAGGGCAGTATACAAATCAAATAAACTAAACTAAACTAAACAAGTGTTTGCATGTATAGATGTGTTTGGTTAATGAGAGAAATTCAGTCCCAGTATTAATATGCACCTTGAGCATAGATTAGATTTTATTAATTTTGGTCAGTTGGGGTTAGAATATTTAATATTAAATTATATAATTATATAAAATATTATACAATACATTTAATATTATTTAATATTTAATAATAGTTAAATAATATTTAATGTTACTGCACATTATTACGGTTGATCACACACAGTCAGCCAGATATTTAGACAGGATCTGGCATTTTATGCACCTATGAAGTCCTTCTCAAGGACCTGGAATAGACAAATGTTATTGTTTGATAGTGCTAAAGGTACTGTTGCAGGATATAAACTGTTCCAAGAAAATCCACCTTTAGTAATTGATTGATGGTGATTTTGTCAATACTGTTGGAGTTCAAATGGTGGTCTAGGTGTTTTGGAACTCTGTTACTATTGGTACTATCATTGCTTTCTTTTGTCACGCTTGTTCTATTTGTAAGTCTTTGTACTTTGGGATTTTCCCCAGTTCTTTTTCTTCTATTCTGCTGTCTTCAGGTACTGCCATGGCCACTAGCCAGGCATTTTTGCCTTTCTTATTGACAATTGTTAAGCCTGGGGTGTTATGTGACAGGTGCCTGTCTATTTGAATTCTAAAGTTCAATTTAACTTCTTCATTTTCTATGACTCTCTCTATTTTGTGTTTGTTTCTCCTTCTCCTCTTCCTCCTCCTCCTCCCCCCTCCTCCCTCTCCCCCCTTCCATCAAAATAAACTAGTTATAGATTTAATGTGGAGTCAGTTTTTTGATCTGGTATACCTCATAATGCTGACATGTACATATTTTTTAACTTTCTCCACAAAGGCAAAGACTTGGATTATGCTTTGGAATTTGAAAATGTCAGCATTTTCAAGTATTAGCTTTTCTTTTTATTGTGCCCACAAATTAGTCCTGATGGAATGTGGATAGATTTTTAATTATTCTAACCTACGTATTTCTAAACAGGTCAGAGATACTAATAGTTTGTGAAATAAATAAAATATGGTAAATAAATAATTACGGTAAATAAATAATTGAAAGCTTATTTTGAAAGCTTATTCTTTCAATAAACTCTTTATCTCCTTAAGTGCTGGCATCTGCTGTGGGGTATTAAGAAAATGTAGGGGCTGCTTTCTGTCTTTAAGAGCATGTTTCTCCATTTCTCCTTTAGGGAAATATAATATTCTGCCTTTTTTAATATTTCCCAAAATATTTCATTCTTCTAGGAGGGGGAGGTTTCCTACAATAGTAAACAAAGAAAAAATAAAATAAAAAACTGAAGAAAAAAGAAAGGAATTAAAAAAAATAAAAATTATAAATACAATAATAAATTGTATTGGCTTTTTTGCAGCTGTTAGCTTGTGATTCACCAAGATAACCAGATTCTTTTCAAATGTACTTCTGCTCAATATGCTCTCCCCATACAGAATAATTCCTTTTATTTCTCCTTCCTAAGGAGGTTTGTCCCCGGTGTTTCAGTTTGATAAGGTCTTCCTAAACCTTGATACTGTCTTCTAAGGTGATTACTATTCTCCCTACTTCTATATCAACTCCAAATGTGAACTGTGCCTAAAATTTTGAACAGAGACTAGAGAGGACATGTAGAATAGATTGTTCAGTCAGTTCTATGTCCATCAAGGTAGCACATCTGCCCCATATTTTGCCATCTTTTCTATTACAATCTCATGGGAAACTTTGTTGGATGTTTTGCTGAAGCCAAGCATTCAACAAAGTTTCCATGATATTCTAATAGATAACAAAATATACCATTCTCAGCATTCCCTTGGACAAATAATCTGCTTGATCTATCAAAAAAGCAGAATCAGTTGGTTTAATACATTCACTCTGGGCTCCTCCACAGTGCTCTGATCTTTTACTTGACCATGGAAAAAAATGATGTTTCAGAACTCACTCTGTCCTTTTGCATCACACAGTGCTCAAGTAATCCCCCAGGCAGTTTTTTGACATCCCATTCAGTGATGCTTACAACTGCAGAGGAGATGTTACCTGCAGTTTGAAAAACCCTGTAATGAAAATTCAGTCAAGTACTCAGCTGCAGGAGATATAAATGCAGAAATAAGATGGTTTATTTTTGGGGGGAGGGAAGATACTGCAGACTAAAAGCTTGAAAACAGAACATACCACATTGATGTATCTCACTCAAATAATGATTTATTTAAATGAAGAAAGGGTAGAATATCTTCTTTATTTTTTATTACCGGTATCATTTTAGAGGAATTTATTTGAGACCTTCACAGCCCTTCTCCCAGAGTCCATAGTTACAGTATTAAGAAATTTTGGAGAAGGATAAAAAATGTGATAATTAATGTATGGCGGGACACTTGGGAAAAGTTGCTAAATAGGTTTTATAGCGCAACCATTCCTGCTGATTAGCGATAAGAATGCCTTCCATGTGAAAAAAAACTGGAAAAACAACGGCAAGACAAGAAAGAGAAACCTGTCACATTCAAAAGTAGGGTTAGAAAATGACCTGGTAGAGATCACGCAAGTGCCACAGCTTACCTTCAGAGGTAATATTCAGAGGAAAAGAGATATTGTATCAACAATAATAAAAATAATCCTACAGAAAAGAATTCTTATCAATGATATCACATAAGGTTATTGAGATAGATTTGAATGTGTAGAATTATATCACTTTAGAAGTATTAGAAGCATTTAGAAGTGTTGTTTCTGCTGCTTAATTAATGCCTGTCCAGGTATTCCACACCTTTGTAGATTTTTATAAATTCATTCTTAACTGCATGGGGAATGCATGCCTGATTTGATTCCACATGCACAGTTCACCAGACCGAAGATTAAGGCTGACAGGAAAGGCAAAGGAACATCTAAGTTCAAGACGAGATGAGAGAGGCAAATCCTCAAAGGAGGTTATTGCTCTATGTCTTGTTTTGCAATACATTATTTTTACCATATTTTATGAAATAGACTTTCAGGAGATAATTTTTTTACTGTATAAAATATAACAACACATTTTAGGGCATTATGCTTGGAAACTTTTGTGTTCTGGTTCTGGAGACTTTGGTATTCTCTCCTCCAATTTAGAAGTGCTTTCTCTAACAGGGTCAAACTCTTTGGAAGGATGGGAGTTTTAATTCAATTTACTGGGGTAGGGGTTTCCGTTAGGAAAGCAGATAGCATTAGAATTAGCAGCTTCTTAAGGCATACTGCTCATTGTCCACTCATTGCTTAAATATTTATATTTTTTTCTATTTTTCTGTTTTTTAACAAATTTTATTACCTGTGTAGGACTGCTCTGAAATGGAAACATTTCTATTTCATTTCTTGTTGCTGACTCTCATTTCTCCTTGATTTTCTTTTCTTTTTTTCTTCCTGAGCTGTCTGACAACTTCTACCTGTTTTGCCTAAGTTTCTTAACCCTGTTAAATGAGAAACAAAAGAAGACAGACATAAAATTAAGAATGGAATGAAAGTTAAGTTGTGAAATCATAGTTACCTATGATTTATTTAACTTTGTTTATATAGCATTCTAAATTAATCACACTGGATACATTGACCATTGACTATTAATCACACTAGGTACATTGATACTACATGCCTGACTATAATATAGAGTAGCCCAGTGTCTAGTTCAGTCTGTTATGAGATCATAGCTTGGGAACGTATACATTATTAAAAAGGACATTGTTTTTTCAAAGACATTAACAGCAAAGATTGGAGTGATAACTTGACGTTGACTTAGTCTACAATACATAGAGAAAAGAAACTTAATTATTCCTTCTCAGTTTAAAATCCACCAAAATAGGCCTCCTCCTTCCATCTACCTCTTTTAAACTTAGCAAAATAGTTTCCTTTGCAATTAATTGATCTGCGTTCATAGCTATCTGGGTATAAGTGAGTGATTTTGCTAGGTTTATAAATAGGGAAGGAAGGTTAAACTTCAGCTCCCTGAATACTGCAGGCCTTCCATTCTTCCAAATGATGTTTTTATTTTTCTCCAAAAGGACAAGCACTGCAGTCAAGGATGATTACTCATTAGGATCACTTCAAATAATATTTTGGATTTTAAGTAGAATGAATGGTGGATGTAAAAAATAAAGTATGCCTACCTTGTGACATACTTCATACTCTGCCGAAAGGTTCCCAAAAGATATCGGGTTGATAGGTTCGGGAAATTCAGCCTGTTTAACTTCCTCTGTAAATACTATTAAAAGCTCCAATTCAAATTAATAGGGGGTTGAATGAAATGATCTCCCAATAATATAAGTCCCATTTAAACTAAAATCTGAAGTGCTACTTCATTTTATTTTATCTCAAACTTTGTCCAGTGTAAAGATCAAGTAAACCAGGAAAATGTTTTAAAAGGGACTTGTCTTCCTAAGTTAAATATTTGTTTCAGCTACTCAGGGAAAAATGGTTTGTGCAATTCTTCCAAGTGTTTCCAAGTATTCAAACAAGAATTTATTCTGTTTTAATATTCGTTGTATATTATATTTGATCTTTTAAACATTTGCAGTCCTCTGTTGTCTCTTACTAAGTGTTATTGATCTGACTTCTTGTTTATCTCTCTCTCTTTTTTTACAGATTTCTTGTTCATATATTTTTAAACTTAGCTCTCTTCAGTAAAATTATTTAGTTATTATTAATGGATTCTTTTAGGAATGAATAAAAATTTTATATTTTTTAATTTAAAATGTTTTGGTTTAAATAAAAGAAAACATTGGGCTTTAATTCATCTGAATAACTGCCTACATCTAAAACTCATTTATTCAATGCCATGACAAATGAATTAAAGATAATACAGTTTATCTTAGCTCTTCATTGTTTTTTTGTGTTATTATTTTACAACTATCTGCATACATTCTGTATCTAGTAAAGGTAAAATTCTTTTCCACTTAAAGGTAGAGACCTCTGGGTTCTTGCTCTGGGAAGGTCTCCAACCCAGCATAAGATTGGCATACCAGAGTTCAAGTATGTTGGTAATATGCATGGGAATGAGGTACGTCTATAACTTCAGTTGTTGTGGTTTCCTTACAGCACTATTTATAGGAAGCACCCCAATTTATATACATGTGGGAAAAGTTTAATCTTCAATCTAAGCAGCCAAAAAAAAGACTGACATTTTCTCTCCCCCCCCGAAGATTGTACAAAGTTATAAAAATGTTACAGTACAAGACAGGGAGGTCTGCTAAATGCAATGCGTTTTCCTTAATTTCATAAAGTAAATAGAGTTATATTTTGCTATTATTAATGAGCATGATCTAGTAAGGTACATGTGGCTTTCAGTGAAAAGGACAAGCCATAAATAGTCTGTTGAAATTTATGTCACTTAATATATTACCATTCTAGTAGTATAATATAGTATAATATAATTAGGAATAGAATTATATAATTTTATTAGCATTACCCTTCACCATTTCCAAGAATCTTTTCCCACTATAAGTTCAAGTTCAATTTCGTAAAGCAACATTCAATTTAAAGTTCATTTTTTTGCTGGTTCTGCCATTTGCATTTTTCTATTGAAGCTGACTGGGCATATACTGTATGATCCTGATAGTCTATCTGTAAAGAATAATGGGGGGGGAGGGGGGAGCATAACAATTCCAAGGAAAGTTTAAGAATTTCTGGTTTTTCTGATTTTTTAATCCTTGTGGCCATTATTATAAAAATATTTACATTATTTTAGAAACCAGCCATATGCTTTCAATAATGCTTATCAATAAAAAGACAACATAAATGGTCCTGTGATTGTTGGCAGTCAAATTTTGGATCTCTGTGTTCCTTATGCCTTGCCTTACAACATTCTCCCTCTCATAAATAGAAACATAATGACATCTAAAGGGGAAAGAAAAATCTTGTCTCAGCTCCAAAGGTTTATATTTATCTGCTTCTGCAAAGAGAAGGAGCAAAGTGGGAACAATTGGATCAGACATATGTATTAATTGAATAAACTAAAGCAATGTCTCACCTCCTTTTTCTTGCTGTAGCATTACTCCTTTATTGTGAGGCTCCGGACAGAGTACAGAACATCAACTCATAAAAATGAAAATAACTGATCAGAATGAACATCCAGAGTCAGTCATTTAGGCCCCAAAACATAAGAATATATTAATCACAGAATACAAGGTGAAAGGGAAGTATTCACTTATTTATTTATTTGTTTATATGTTTCTATTTTGATGCCACCCAACTCTAAAACGCTAAAGGAAATAACAAAGTGGAATCAACAGAAAGGCAATCCAGACAACCTGCATCAAAACATATGTACACCTCTAAGAAGTCATATCCAAAGAATGAAATTCTTATTAATCCATTAGATGTCATAGGCAGACTATTCAAATGGTCCCGTTGTGATGCAGAGGTCCATGGCATCATGATGTCCAGTTTATTGAAGTACTGATCTAATTATGGTAAAGGGTACATGTAATTTCCTCCATTCTCACATCATATTTCATCTGCTCTGAAACAAAGACTAGGTCAAGCATGTACCTGCCTGCATGTTTTGGGACTATACCGGTAGTTGCTGTGACAGAATATGGAGGTTAAAGTCAGCCGAGAAAATGATAACATGACATTCAGGATTTGCAGAGAGATGCTTGTAGTTGGCATATCAGCAGCGGCCAAAGATCCTCATTGTGGTACAATTCTATTCAAAAGAACTAACTACCTCTGGAACAGTGCTTGATCACTGTGAGCCTCTTTATGATGTCACATCTGATGAAGGCCCTGAAACTCAGGTGGCCAGCTTTTTTTCAGATTTCATCACCATCATGCCTGATTCAATAAACCATAAAAAGGCTGCATGTTCATTCACATATCATAGATGGACGTGGCCATATTCTGCATAGATTTGGCATTTACCAAAACTACTAGGAAATCAAAATGCCCAACAGTTAGACTACCTGGACTGGAGAAAATGGCTAAGGTTATATTACCTTATTTCACCAATAGTTATATTGGTGAACTCCAGTATTCGATTCAATTTATAATTATAATAAATCAGTAATTAATCAGCTCAGTTTTGCATCACATATTGGTCCTATTGGCAAAAATTTATGGAGTTAAAGCATTTAGGGATGTGAGAACATGCCATTAAGTGGTGTAATGGTTAAAGTGCTAGATTAGAAACCAGGGGAACATTACTTCTGCTTCTCTCTTAGGAATGTAAATGACTGAGATAGTCATTCTTTCTTAGCCCACCTTCTGCCTTGGAGGGGTTTGTTGGGAAAACAGGAGGAAGGAGCATTATATACACTGCTTGGAGTTGAATATAAATGTAATAAATAATCCAGTGGCTTAATATGTATTTATATTGAAGCATGTTTATTCATAAAGAAGTGCTTGTATAAGAAATTCCCATTTTTTAATACAACAAATAATGTATCACAGTAACAAGTCAGTTGGTCATCTGAGCATAGATGGAAAAATTGATAGATTTTTTTCCCCTGATTAATTCTAAAAAAATACTAGAGGAAGATAAGCAACTATTCAGTTCCCTTTTGCACTTTGACTTGTAGCAATATGTGTGACAATGGAGTGAATGATAACTATTAAAATTCATAATTAAATAAAAACAATAACAGTTATGCAATAGGTTTGTTCCAGTGATATAGGATTCCTGGGAATTTTCAATACAGGAAGTCTCTTTACCTAGTCCCTTCAGGTATGCTGGACTTAAATTGCCATTATTGCCATCTAGTGTATCAAATATGAAAAATGTCATCCAACAATATTGGTTTAAAGCAGGGAGGGTATTTTGGCTGGCTAGTTTAGGAAAAGGGGTTAAGTGAGAAAAAGTAGCAAAGAGATTAAACAGCTATCGGTATTTAACAAAGTACTATTATTGGATATTTCATTGAACCCTGAGGAAAAAACAAAATATATAAATTGTAATTTTTAAAACAAGTCTCCTTTTTTTCTTTCTTGAAAGCATTAAGCAATAACATAGTACCATGGTGGAACTGATTGACAAGTTCTACCCTGCTGACAAAGAAGCATCATTTACAGCAATAATCCACTTGCAAGCACAATACTTATAAATTGTGCCTGTTCCAAGGAAAATAATAAAAAGAAACCATTTGGGAATTGCCTATCTGTTGTCAGATTATTTAAATTAATATTAGAATTATTCTAAAGGTTCTTGTTATTCTTTATGATTTTTGTGTTTGTCAGGATATTTAGATAGACAAGCATATCTCTAAAAAAATTGATTATATTGACATTGATCTAGTTACAGTAGATCTCTGTATTTCTATCCTCTGTTGAGGGTTGTGATTCAGCAGACTGTTACTTGAATAGAAAGAGCAATTCTTATCAATTCTGCCCTACTTTTGTAGCCCACATTCTTTCTCTGCACCCAAAATGGGCTCAAAAATTGCTGGAGAAATACAGTTACAATGCTGTAGACTGCTAACGGGTTAGAGACAATCAGTAAAGTGAGTATCTGGCTTCCAGACCAGACAGAGCAATCTGAGCAGATCCCTCAAGAAAGGTCCTTTTGGTCAGAATAGTGTTCTATATCTACAGTAAGTCACAATCTATGCAATATGGATCCAAAATAATTTCCTTTCTTTTTGCTTTTTAAATTATTAGACACTTTAATTCTTTTTTCTTATCTTCAACTACTACAATTTATTGGATTTTTCTGCTTTTTTATTATCTTTCTTGGTTTCTCTATCCATACAATACAAATAAATTTACCATAATAAACTTTTAATCCTAAATTGCTTCATCTAGAAACTTATCCTTTTGTATTTGTTCAGGTATTTTGGTATTATTTTAAGTAGTTACCTTATGGTAAGATGGGCGGCCAATAACTTTTATAAATAAATAAATTTATGCATTTTGGCCTGATATGATTGTTGATTTTTAAAAATTGAATTTGTATTTGTTTTACTGTATTAAGTGGATAAGAACTTGCCTTTGATAATACCATAATACATGATATTTTCTTGTCCTCTTAGGCTATATATTTTTTCTTATGTTCTCTTATTATTTTTTTCTTCCTAGTAATTTAAATGATTATCATAAGTACTAAAAATGATCAAAATTACACATGATTCAAACTCTTACAAGATTTTAAGCATTCTAATTTAAAAAAAACATTCTGGAATACAATGAATGTGGCAGTTTTGGTTTGCCCAGTATGGTCCTGAAGAAATAATATAGGTTTTTCTTTAATTTTTTAGTTTCTTGCGCAGAAGTTAATGATTCTAAGCCCTGCTGGCAAGGACCTGCATATTTTATTCACATAAAGAGGTCTAGAATACTTTCAGAAATGGACAATGGGCAATAATATTTTAGCTTGATTTCACTGCTGTTGAAAGTTTGAGGGTTGATATTACAGGAATAACTAAGTTTAAAATTAGCAATTATTACTATGAAGAAAATAAAAATATTCTCATTTCTTTTAATGACTACCCTATTTCCCCAAAAATAAGAGCTATCCCAAAAATAAGCCCCATCATGTTTTTACGTGTCTGTCTAATATAAGCCCTACCCCACAAAATAAGGCCCTACTTAAGCGCCTGAGCAGCTGGCCAGCAGCCGATTCTGTCTGGTTGCTTGCGATGCTGTGGCCACGAGGTGGGGAGGGTGGAGCTGCCTCATAAATCCCGCTCCTGCTTACTTAGGGTCCCTGCAGCCAGGCCATCTATGCCCCAACATCTGCCTCGTGGTGGCAACATCAACAGCCATGTGCAGCAGGAGCCCACATGGCCACTGGCCCACTTCTGCTTGCTTGCAGCTGCAACGGAACAGAAGGCTGAGTGGTGTGTTGTTGCTGCACCCGCAAGGCGAGGCAGCTGTTGGTGCATGGATGGCCTGGCTGTGGGGGCCCTGAGGTAAGCCAGTGCAGGGTGCGTGGGGCAGGTTCACTTCCCATCTCACCTTGTGGCCGTGCCACCATTGCATTGCTCAGCCTCCTGCTCCGTTGTGATCACGAGCAAGCAGAAGAAATGGGCCAGGGGCCATGCAGGGTCCTGCTGAACGGGGTTGCCAGAGCTGCTGCTTTGAAGCAAGACAGATGTCGGGGCACGGGTGGCCTGGTTGCAAGGGTCCTGAAGTAAGCTGGTACAGGATGCATGGGGCAGCTCCACCCTCACTTGCCTCATGGCAGCAGCACTAGCGCACCATGCAGCCTCCTACCCTGCCACGAGCAAGCAGAAGTGGGCCTCCTGTAGATGGGGGGAAAATAAGACACCCCCCCTCCCAAATAAGTCCTAGTGCTTATTTTGGGGCCCAAAAGAAAATAAGACCCAGTCTTATTTTCAGGGAAACGTGGGTCGTTAAATGTCAATAATATAACGTAACATATGTACATAGTTACATTCTCAAGCATGGAATCCCATTGATAGCTGATGTTAAGGAAAACAGACTGGCTTCTGTTATGAAATCTGTTTCAGTAGCTGAAATCATATATGTGTCAGGCCTGGAGGCCATCTTTTGCAGTGGGCCCTCAGGCCTGCCACATTTACTGCTGTGGGAGACTGGGAGGGTGCATTGTATGGAGCAGGAGTGATATATAGTCATAATAACATTCCTTTCTCAGAGAGTCAGGGACATCTTGCCCTGCATCTGGAGGGGTGTGATTGGGAGTCATCTCCAGTTGGGATGGTGCATTGATTAGACCATGTTTAGTTTAGTTTAGTTTAGTTTAGTTGATTTGTATACCGCCCTACTCCCGAAGGACTCAGGGCGGTGAACAGCCAACAATAAAATACATAAATACACAAAATTTAAAAACCCGATAAAATCAAATTAAATTATTTGGCCCAGACAGATTAAAACACCCCGATAATTTAAAAACAGATTAAAATTTACATATTTAAAAAGGGAAGAGATTAGGCCAAGCCCGCTTGATGGAATAAAAAGGTCTTCACAGCACGGCGGAAGGAGCGCAGATCCGGGATCCTCCGTATCTCCGGGGGGAGCTCATTCCAGACGGTAGGTGCCCCCACAGAGAAGGCTCTCCCCCTAGGGGCCGCCAGTCGACACTGTTTGGCTGACGGCACCCGGAGGAGTCCCTCTCTATGAGAGCGTACTGGCCGGTGGGAGGCTATTGGTGGTAGTAGGCGGTCCCGTAAATAACCAGGCCCTAAGCCATGGAGCGCTTTAAAGGTAGTAACCAAAACCTTGAAGCTCACCCGGAAGACCACCGGGAACCAGTGCAGCTCGCGCAGGAGAGGTGTTACATGGGAGCGCCATGTCGCTCTCATTACGACCTGCGCGGCCGCACTCTGCGCCAGTTGGAGCCTCCGGGTGCTCCTCAAGGGGAGCCCCATGTAGAGAGCATTGCAATAGTCCAGGCGGGAGGTGACGAGGGCATGAGTGACCGTGCGTAATGAGTCCCGATCCAGAAAGGGACGCAACTGGCGAATCAGGCGAACCTGATGAAAAATCCTCCTGGTCACGGCCGTCAAGTGCTCTTCTAAAGACAGCCGTGAATCCAGGAGGACGCCCAAGTTGTGAGCCTTCTCCGTGGGGGCCAATGATTCGCCCCCAATAGTCAGTGATGGCGTCAACTGACTATATCGGGACGTCGGAAACCACAGCCACTTGGTCTTGGATGGGTTGAGCCTGAGCCTGTTCCTCCCCATCCAGATCCGTA